GCTGCAACGTGGCTCCTGCTTCAAGCCTGCGCAAGGACTATCATCGCGTAAACTGGGCCCAGTTTGGACGCGTGGTAGACAGGCACTTCATCGACAACCCGCCGCTTGACACCGTGGAGGACATCGACCGAGCGTTGGAGGGACTCCACCAAGCCATAACCGTGGCTGACGAGGCGTGCGTCTGACGAGTTCCTGTGAGGGGTAAGTTTATTGCTATTGATTCCCACACCCAACTCTTAATTCGCCTGAGAAATGTTCGTAGACGCCAGTTTCAGAGCACTGGAGATCCAGCGATGAAACGTGAAATGGCCGATCTGAACAAGGAGATTGCTTCCAGAATGGTCTCACTCCGGAACGAAAGTTTCGGGCGGCTTGTCCAGAATCTGGACGACCGCTCCAGACCATTCTGGAAAGTTGCCAAGGTCTTAAAGACGCACCCTAAACCCATTCCGCCACTAAAAGATGAAAATGATGACGATCGGCTCATAATCACCCCTCAGGAGAAAGCAAATGCTTGGATTACATGCCAAGTGCAACCCAACGATAGTGAATTGGAGCAAAAGGTGAGGTCTAATCTGCTACCATTCGAGGATGGACCAGCCGAACGTGTTGCTTCTCCATTGTTAAGTAGTGTCATGTTGAAGTTGTCGCAGAGATCATAAATCAAAGTAGAACGGTTATCATCGTACAGCTCCCCCCCGCCTGTACCGTGGGAGTTAAAACCTCCCATGATCAACCATGGAGCGGGAAGTACCGCACATATGTCGAAAAGTTGTTTGCGATTAACAGAGACTCTAGGAGCAATATATACAGTAGCAATACAAAGGCTCTTACCTATAATGGTAGCCTGACATGCGACAACTTCAATACCGGGGAATTCAGGAAGATTCACTCTATAGAAGGAATGGCACTTTTTGATCCCCAAAAGTACCCCTCCTCCACGTGAATCCTCACGATCCAATCGAATAATGTTAAAATCATAAAAAGGGAGATCAATTTCTGAAGAGAGCAAATGCATCGCAATTATTGTTATGGACTAAATACTTAACGAATCTAATTTCGGAATAAGGCTTCGACAATTCCACTGTAGAACAGTGATCAAATCCCCGACCTCGTTTGGAAAATTATCCATCGAAGGAGATGTTAGCTGCAAGAAGGGGCCATTTTGAAGTCAATTGCTTCAAGAAGGATTTCACAGTGGGAAGCAATGTAAGGACAATGCTTTTCAGAGGATCAGAAATGATGAGGTATTTGAGAATACCGTTCACAATGTCATCAAATGGGAACAACCCAGATGAAGAAGGGTTTCTGTTCTTAACATTGGGGCATCAGGGGTTTTGGATGTCCGCGGAAGAGGTGGAAATTCCTGGATATAGCCAGTTCTGCGGAATCCAGGAGGAGTAGAAGTCTCCTTTTTTCAAGCTGATTTGGGGTTCACAGAACTGAATTGAATTGGTTCAACTTCAATCAAATGATATGAAAATTAACAGCACTGCTTCCAACCCATCGGTCCTTTTCAGGACCACAAATGGCTGATAAAAGAGATACCTAAAGAGTAAGAGCTTGTATCCAAGACATATCGATTGGCTTGTACTACATGGACATCCGCAGAGCACCTCAAAAACAGAACTCTCAAATTGCTTCCGATAACTCACTGATAACTAGTTAAGAAATCAATTTAATATATACTACAGGGTTACCCACTCGAAGTGTTACCAGATTCAAACTGCTATAACTAACATACTTTTAATGACAGCGCGCTCAAATTTATACTAATGACAGTTCATTCCATTGTTTACAAGCGTACAAAAGCATTTTTCTCTCCGTCTTTTAGAAAAAAGTTATTCGTGATCAAAAGAGCAAAGTAATTGGTGCGCTTGCACGAACGTGGCGAATTTCCGAACATTGTGTTCTCTGATGAGAAAAATTCCCCTATTGAGCAGTTCATAAACTCTCAAAATGATCGTGTTTACTTGATCGAACGCAAGTACGAGAATTTAAGCCAACGAATGGTCACCCGAAGCAATTTCCCACCGCAAGTGATGGCGTGGGCAGCCGTGACCGCTGATGGCCGCTCTCCAATCGTTTTCATCAAGTGTCAATGTAAATGCGACTTATTATCGTGAAAATATTATGGAAGCTGCTTTAGAGCCGTGGGTACGCAAACAGCATGGACGTTCGAACAAGACTCGGCACCGTCACATAAAGCGAAAATTAACCAAGCTTTTGAATTCGCCAGATGCTAATCCGGAGAACTTTTCCATTTGGTCCAGTTTAGAGAGCAAGGTGCGGACTAAAAAATATGCCAGTGCCAGATGTGCTAAAGAAAGCGATTGTACGTGAATGGACCAAAATACCACAAGCTCACATTCGTGCAGCATGCAACTCGTTTTTGACCATTTGAAGGCCATAGTCAAGGCAAAAGGTGGCCACATCAAGCTAAAGTGAATGGATTTTGAAATTTTGATTATTTACAAACATTTTTGCCATTGGAATCAATAAAAAATATTTCACACAAAAAAATTATTGTCGTTTGAATAGGTAACACTTCGAGTGGGTAACCCTGTATACTACGGTACTATACAATATACGGTCGTGTCTTGGATGCAACCTCTTACGTTTTTTTCAAGCCTTTAGATAATCGAGTCCGACCTGTATTTCCAAAGAATTCTGGGTACCATTCCAGGAAGATTCGGAAGAAAGTTTTAATAGATTTCTAAGGAGAGTTTCAAACGAATTCCGAAGAGAATTCAAAGGAAATTTCATAAGATTCTCTCAAGGGCATTTTTAGAAGAATTTCAAGAGAATTCCGAGAAAGCAGGAATGCAAATCAACTTAATAAAAGGTTCAAATCAAATTTCCAGTTGTTTCCCGGTTGTTTTCGATTCCCGGTTAATTCTCGGTTCTCCCGGTTCAGTGGCCTCCCTATTTTTTGTTTTCATATATGAGTATGAACTCCGAGGAATGTGTAAAAAATATAGAAGAGTTGGGCTACGTAAAGTGTCGATGCATTAAAAAAGTTTGATTAGCAATGACTATGAAAAATCGACTTTTTTCATAAATCCTAAAAACCACTAAATCACGTTTAAGCTATCATTTGGAGGGTAAGCCCCCGGGTTTCCAGACTAAGTGTTATTTGGGCCACCTTAATAAATACAGTTTTACAGGTTCAAACAAATGGTACTCGATTATGACAACTGTGTTAGGGAAAACGTTTATTTCACGAAAACAGTGATAAAATTATCACTGCTTGTTTTTAATTTTTTCAAAACTTTCTAAATGGAAAATTGAAAAAAATATTGAGGCAGATGCGTAGAGTTATTTTCTATCGATTGGTGTATTTGGATTTTAATTTCATCTATAAATGACAAAGTTATAGGCGTTCAAAACCTAACACCTTCTCGTGACGGTTGCAATTTTAGATTTACCCTTCCCGTAAAAAATCTACATGCCCTTCTACATCAAGATCGCTGAGTAGAGGCTTTATAATAGTGCACATGAATCACTTTTCTCGACTAGTTAATTCAGCTTTGTAAAGAAGCGGAGTAAAAGGTGTAGAGCCGAGACGTGTGCCTAAAAATAAACCTAGTAGACTGTAACCATAGAGGTAACTCTAAGACTAGAAGGTCCCGAAATAACGTGCTCAACTTTTTTGCTCAGCTCTGGTACTCTCTTCGGTCCTCTCGAAAAATAGGAAAAACCAATAACCCCTCATTTTATCTGTCAAACTTTCATAGCGAATCAAAACAAACATTGCGTAGTACTAGAATTTCGACTAGAATAGGGTGCGTTAATCGTTTGCTTGGGACCAATAGGCTAGTCAAGTAGTGAGCCAATTTAAAATCGTAAGTTTCGTAGTGATTGTTGCTGTAACCATGCTTCCAAAGTAGCGCTAACACAGTTTATTAGCTGAGAACAGGTTGTTTAGTTGTTGAAAAGGCACTTTTGATGTTTATGTTATTCAGCAAAGGTGGTTGGTTGTATAGAAGCCATCAAATGAGTAATATATTCACTTTATTAGCTTTGCTTTGCAGCTACAAGTTGAAAGATGATTAATATTTGCATAGCAGTGACATTAGCGTTTATTGGCTGCTGTTACTCAGTGCGAACTAGTTTGCTAGCTTCTGCTTGTAGCTGTATCTGCCGCATTTGTTTCAGCTACTGGAAAAGATGGCTTATAAAGCTGAAAATGTTAGTTGGGGCCGTTTCTGTAAGAAGGGTAAAACCCGATTCTTCGAGCGGTATGTGTACCCTTCTTTGTAGCAAACTTTTTAACGCACCATCGTTAAGCAGTAATTCCAGCAGTAATCGATATAAAATATGCATAACGGTAGGCACGAAGGATGGCCAAAACCTAACCTTTCGAGAACCCGATTTTCGATGTTGATAAGCATCAAAGCTCGGCTCCCCACCGCTATACATAGAGGAAAACTTTCATGATGTGAAGCAATAAACATCACTGAGGAACTCCGATTCGAACTCCCGATTAATATTGAATTTCTACTACACTGCTTTCCCATTGGGCTCGCTTTTGCCTAGATGTGCACGAACCCAGTAGGCTGTGCATAATACACAATGCCTCCTACTATGTAGATGAAAGGCACCTGATAAAATATCCTGTTTCCAGGGCTGTTGTTCTCTGTTTTCTGCCGTCTGTCGTTCTGTCGTTTGGCCTACTTAGTTGCGTTCAGCGGACATTGTAGAGGCCCAGGTATGGTTCCACCACCGATGCGCATGATAAAGGGTTGGAGGGGGGATAAATAAAGCGAGAGAGAAACCATGTGACAGACTTGACTTGGCGGAAAAAAGATCACCCTTATCAACCAACAACAGCAGCAGCGCGCGGGTTATGTTCAGGTATTTCCATTATCAATTACATAATGAAGTTTTTGCAAATAAGGAAGCAAAGTTGCCCGGACGGGTCACTCACCGATAGCGATCGACTTTCAAAGGGTTTCGCTGGCAGTTTTAATGGTTAGAACGGGGGAAAATGTACGTACCTTGCTTTTTGACAGGCATCCTTTCGTCCTTCCTCAGCGCTGTTACACCGCCGATTTATCAGAGCCTCCACAGTGGTCCAGTAAATGAGAACTTTTACACAAAATCGATATCCACAATACAGCGAAAAAAAAAACTGTAGTAACTGATTCTTCTTCTTGCAACTCAGCAGCCACTCTAATGTATCCTTCTTTTTTTTTTTCTTTGGTTTTCCACCAGCACAAAACACACTAATCACTTAACTCCAAAAAAGAAGGAACGACTCAAAGAGTACCAACAACAAACACTTTTCCGATGCTATCGCTCAACCACTCACTTATCGTCGTCGTCGTCGTGGTCGTCGCAGTAGGCTGCCGCTTCTGTCGTAAATGTCGCCTGCTTCTCAAATATCACAAATCACATCAAATTCTTTCTGATATTCACTTCGGCTGGCTGGCTAGCTGGAGAACAAACACGAATCGAAGCGAGAGAAGAAAAGGAAGGCAAAAAATAAGTAGGTATACAGCGTGCGACGACGAGGAACTGCTTCCTCGTAAACTCATCAGCGCAGTAGTATAGGGACGCGGCGCCCGTCAGACTGGAGGTGGGTGGCCGGGAAAAATCGGCACACGCAGCATAAAAACCGAAAACGGAAACCGCACCGCATGCACAATAATGCTCGCTGCTACACTCTATCGGAATCTCAGAAGGCTGTGCTTGGCTATGCTGCTGCTAGCCTGACGATGATGGTTGACTTGCAGACAGCACCGGAGCACAGGCACACAGTAAGCTGAGTTAAGTTCGGTTCAGTCAGCCGGGTGCTGCGAGGAGAAGGGTTCCACTCGGTGTAGGTGTGTGCGAACCAGAACCATCGGAGAATGCGGAGCTCAGCTGACGAGAGAGCGACCGGGATGCAATGTTGATCCGGGAGCAGTGCCTCCAGAAAACAGTTTTCTATGATAATTTGTCAGTAAATTACATAAATATGTCTTGAACTTTTGGACAATTTCAGACTTACTCTCTTGCCAGAAGGATTATGCACAGACAAATAGATGTAACTATTTAAATAAATTTTCCTTCAACATATCGTCATGGAACAGACTAACGACATTTATCGAGCTAGTCGCGGAAAAAAGCTTGCTTGCCAAGTCTCAAACAATGTTGCATACAAGTTCGATAGAATGTATAGAAACGTCAAAGTGATCCGATGCCAGTGCCAGTGTTGCCAGATATACCAGATTTTTGGCACAACCGGCCCCGGACCAGCGGTATGCTGAGAAACCGAGTGCTGTTTTGGGGGCTGTGTGCTTCGTCGCAGGAGGAGTTATTCCTGGAGCGTGGACATATGATAAACGACCGCAGTTTTTTTTTTCAACGAGATGAGGAAGGATGTTGTTGTCGAAGTGACCCTGGCGGATGGACATTAAACGTTCCAAGCTAGACAGTAAAGCCCAGAAGCTGATTTTCGTGGGTTACTGCAGTGATAGGAAGGCTTACAGGTTCTTGAACACCGAGACAGATGCAATCACCATTAGTCGTGATGCTCGGTTTGTGGAGATTCAGGAGGAGCCACCGACGCCTGGTGGGCTGCCTCCAAAGGAAGAACTGGTTGAAGTCGAGATCACGAGCAACGGAAGTCAGCAGCAAGAAGATATGTCGAGTCCTGGACAGTCTCAAAGCGAGGACGAATCGGAAGATTACACGGATGCCGAGCAGGAACAGCCCGATCAAACGGATGCGCCAGTGCAAGATGGTCAAAAGCGGAGGACCCGAGGCGTGCTGCCAAGGCGGTTCGCCGACTATGAAGTCAACGCAGCCATGTTGGTGCAGGAGGAGCCAGTGTCGTACGAAGAAGCCATATCCGGTCCGGAGCAAGAGTTGTGGAAGGCCGCGATGACGGAAGAATACCAGTCGCTGATGGAGAATCGAACGTGGATACTCGTTGAGCTAGCTGCTGGTCGTGCTCCTATAAGCTGCAAGTGGGTATATAAGAAGAAGCACGACAGCGTGGGCAACGTATCTCGGTTCAAAGCGCGACTTGTAGCAAGAGGGTTTTCGCAAAAGTTCGGAGTCGATTATGATGCCGTTTTCGCTCCGGTGGCAACTCAGACGACTTTGCGGATTCTCCTAACGCTCGCTGGACAGAAGAAGATGTCAGTTCATCACCTGGACGTCAAGTCTGCTTATCTACACGGCAAGCTGAAAGAGGAAGTGTACATGCAGCAGCCTAAGGGATTTGTAGTTCCAAAGAAAGAGAAACTGGTCTGCAGACTCGAGCGCAGCCTGTACGGCCTAAAGCAGGCGGCGCGTGTGTGGAACTCTACTATCAGTTCGATGTTGAAAGAGCTTGGTTTCTTGCAATCGGGATCAGATCCGTGCCTGTTCGTGAAGGCGTTGCCTTATCTATGTTGACGACATGGTAGTCGCGAGCACAACTCAGAAGGAGATCAAGCGAATCGAAGCTGAATTGCAGAAGAAGATTTCTTTGACTTCGCTGGGAGAAGTAAACCAGTTCCTTGGAGTTCGAGTGTCAAGAGACCGTGAAGGGTACTTCTGTTTGGACCAGAACGTTTTCATCCAGGGGCTTGCGCAGCGTTTCGGTCTGCAGAACGCGAAAGGCTCGAGTATTCCGCTCGATCCTGGGTATTACCGCAGTCGGGTAGGCAGCCCGAAGCTGGACACGAACCAGCACTACCACAGCCTGGTAGGTTTGCTGTTATATGTTGCAGTGAATACAAGGCCGGACATCGCCGCAAGTGTTTCGATTCTGAGCAGGCAGGTTAGCAACCCAACGGAGATAGACTGGGTCGAACTAAAACGCGTTGTACGATATCTGCTGAAGACTGCCGACTACAAGCTGAAACTGTCAGCTGCGAACGGTGAACCATTAACTCTCATTGGTTACTGTGATGCAGACTGGAGTGGTGATCCTTCGGACCGCAAGTCAAATTCGGGATACATGTTCCAGTTGGGAAGAGCTACGATGCTGGGCAAGCCGCAAGCAAACAAGCGTGTCTTTGTCTAGCATGGAGGTCGAGTATATGGCACTGTCGGAAGCATGTCGAGAGTTGGTTTGGCTCCGGCAGCTTCTTGAAGAGATTGGGGAACCTCAACGTGAACTCACTGTAGTACTGGAGGACAACCGCAGCTGCATTGATTTTGTGGAAACAGATCGCAAGTCCAGACGCTCGAAGCACATAGATACTAGGATGCACTACACCAAAGATCTAGCTGACAAGGGAGTAGTGGTGCTTCGTCACTGTGGCACAGAGGAGATGGCTGCAGATGTCCTAACGAAGCCGTTGGGTCCTATTGAACAGAAACGTTTTGCGCTGGTGATGGGCTTGGTCGCTACCGATGATCCGGCCACACCGGCTGCCTGAAGAGAGAACATCGAGGAGGAGTGTTAGATATAAAAGGTGGGGGCGATGTTTCTATCAACACTGTCACTGCACCCCAATGCTGCCAACGTCAAGGTAACGATCACTTTATCATTCTCTGTCAATAGCCGAACAATAAAGACGTGTGAAACTAATAGTCCGTGTTGCGTGTTATTTTCACTGTCGCGAAACGCCATTGGAACTTCGGTCGGTTGTGTTCTCCGTGCTGCGCTACCTGTTGGGTTGTCCGGTTCTGTAACCGGTCCGCTGGTGTCCCACAGTTATTCCTGGAGCGTGGACTGTGGATAGTGATTGCGCTTGTCATATGACAAACGACCGCAGTTTTTTTTTTTCAACGAGTTGAGGAAGGATGTTGTTGTTGAAGTGACCCTGGCGGATGGAACAACAACGATGTCTGCTGGATGCGGTAATGGCGTGTTGTTTGGTACCAACGGCGATGGAAACCGGATTGCTATCACGCTGGAGAATGTACTGTACGTCCCTTCGCTGGAGGGAGGAGGGCTGATCTCGGTTCGGAAGCTTGCGCTCAAGGGATTTTCAGTGGTCTTCGAAGTGGATCGTTGTGAAGTGAAATCTCTGGATGGCGTTGTAGTGGTAGTAGGTGAAACCGTCGGCAACCAGTATAATAACGCGATAGCTGGTCCCAGCAGTGGCAAGAGGCGTCCTCTGACCAGTGTGGAGGTCCAGCCTGGGTTGCAGCACTGGAAACGAAGCAGAACCAAAAGAAACTGAGCAGTACGTTCCGGTTAATGGCCATGCGAGTCGTGAGTGCGTACAGAACCACCTCGTCGGAAGCAGTATGCGTTATCTCCGGAATGATCCCTATCGGCATCACCTTGGTGGAGGACACCAAGTGCTACAGGTGGAGAGAAGCCGGAAGAGTACGGAAAGTTGTAAAAGTGGAGTCATTGGCTAAGTGGCAACAGGAGTGGAACACGATGGAGAACGGTAGATGGACGCAAAGACTAATACCGATTATTTCGTCTTGGGTGAACAGAAAACACGGAGAAGTCAACTTCCACCTAACGCAGTTCCTGTCTGGCCACGGCTGCTTCAGGAAATACCTGCATAGGTTTGAACACGCAGCGTCACCGCTCTGTCCGGAGTGTGCCAACGTCGATGAAACGCCGGAGCACGTGGTATTCGACTGTCCAAGGTTCGAGGTAGTGCAAAGGGAGATGCCCGTCCTTAACGTGGAGAATGTCGTCGTTGAAATGTCAGCAGAGCAGTCACGCAGATCATGTCGGAGCTGCAGCGTAAATTGAGAGAAGAGCAGCGATCCAGCAACGCCACCTAGCGCTGGAAGTACGACAAGTGCATGAGCACAGCCACCCCCCGAAGTAGTCGCTTCATAGTGGTCCCGGGAGTATCCAGGCAGAGGAGAGAGTAAGGAATGGGTTTTAGTGGAGCTACACTAGGCAACTAGTGGATACCACACCGTTCCAACTTCATTACAGGCCAGGCTTCTTGAAGGTTTCCCGAAGGTTTCGTGATCGCCAAAATCAATGGAATCTATGTATGTAGTTGCTACGCACCCCCGAGATGGACAATTGAGCAGTTCCACCAGATGCTAGATGAGCTAACCGGAGAGCTCATTGGACGGAAACCAGTCGTCATCGCAGGAGATGTCAATGGTTGGGCAGTGGATTGGGGGAGTAGGTGTACCAACGCAAGAGGGTATAGCCTGCTGGAAGCTCTGGCAAAGTTGAACGTCACCTTCCGCAAAGATGGTAGGGAATCCATTATCGATGTCACTTTCTGCAGTACGTCGCTAGTGGCAAATATGAACTGGAGAGTGTGCGAAGAGTACACCCATGGTGACCATCAGGCGATCCGGTACAGTATCGGCGAACGGACACCGGTGGAAATGCGGAAGACGCAAGTAAGCGAGTGGAAGTGGAAGACGAAGGCATTCAATAAGGATCTCTTCATCGAAGCTCTAAGGGTAGACAGCAGCATCCCGCGTCTAAACGCGAACGAGTTGACCGAATCATTAGCAAGGGCATGTGACACAACTATGCCGAGAAAACTGGAACCAACGAACAGGAGGCGTCCAGCTTACTGGTGGGACGAGGAAATTAGCACCCTCCGTGCTAGTTGTCTTCTAGCCAGAAGGCGTGTTCGGAGAGCAAGAACGGAAGCAAACAGAGAGGAGCGCACGGTGGTGTTCCGAGAGGCCAGGGCTGCACTAAAACGAAAGATAAAGCTGAGCAAGTCAAACAGCTTCAAGGAGCTGTGCCGCGATGCCGATGCCAACCGAGTCGCGATGGCGAAGATCAGAGGTCCAGCGATGCCGTTTGAAATGTGTCCCAACAAGCTGAAAGTCATCGTGGAGGGACTTTTCCCACAGCATGACCCAACGAACTGGCCACCTACACCATATGGCGAGGAAGATGGAGACAACGTTGAACAAGTCTACAACGAGGAACTCCTAGCAGCAGCGAAAGGGTTGAAGGCGAAGAAAGCTCGGATGGAATTCCCAACGTGGCGTTGAAGGCGGCAATACAGACGTTCCCGGATATGTTCAGGATAGTGCTGCAGAAATGTCTGGACGAGGTACAAAAGCTTGTGCTGTTGCCAAAGCCCGGAAAACCACTGGGGAATCCCGCATCGTATAGGCCAATATGCTTGCTGGATACTGTCGGAAAGCTCTTGGAGAGGATCATCCTGAACAGGCTGGCAAAATGCACGGAGAGGGAACACGGGTTGTCGGAGAGGCAGTTCGGATTCCGGAAAGAAAAAAATCGACGGTGGATGCAATTCGGACAGTGATTGACAGAGCCGGAAAAGCTTCCAAAACAGAAGCCGAGAGGAAATCGTTACTGCGCCGTAATTACGATTGATGTGAAGAATGTATTCAATAGCGCCAGCTGGGAGGCCATCGCCAAGCCATAGAATGAGGGTTCCAGACTACCTCTGCAGGATTCTAAGTAGTTACTTTCAGAACCGGGTCCTGGTCTACGCGACAGACACGGGTCAGAAATCGCTTAGAATCACGGTGGGAGTTCCACAAGGCTCCATTCTAGGTCCCACGCTGTGGAACGGAATGTACAATGGCGTGCTGACGCTCAAGCTGTCCAAAGGAGTTGAGATCGTTGGCTTTGCGGACGATGTCATCTTGATGGTAACCGGTGAGACGCTGGGAGAAGTGGAAATGCTGGCGTCCGAGGCGATAGATACGATTGGTAACTGGATGCAAGGAGCGAAGCTGCAGATAGCCCACCACAAAACAGAAGTTATGTTGATCAGTAACTGCTAAGCAGTGCAGCGGGTAGAAATCACAGGAAATTGAGCAGTACGTTCCGGCTGATGGAACCATTTCGATGGAGGCAGTATGCGTTATCGCTGGTATGATCCTAATCGGTATCACCTTGGCGGAGAAGTCAACTTCCACTTGACACAGTTCCTGTCTGGTCATGGCTGCTTCAGGAAGTACCTGCATCGGTTCGGACACACAACGTCACCCTTCTGTCCGGAGTGTGGGAATGAGGAAGAATCACCAGAGCACGTGGTTTTCGAATGTCCTAGATTTGATGCTGTGCGAGAGGAGATGCGCGCCCTTAGCACGGAGAATGTCGTTGAAGAAATGTGTCGAGAGGAGGGCACCTTTAACGCCGTCAGCAGAGCAGTAACGCAGATCCTGTCAGCGCTGCAGCGAAAATGGCGAGAGGACCAGCTAGAAAGTAGTAATGTGTTCACACAAGGGCGAAGAGAAAGCCGAAGCCGAGAGAACTCTCCGTCAGAGTAGGCTGAATCCACCACCGGGGTTAACCGAGTAGAACGCAAAGCTGGAAGCTAAATGGCCCACAAATTGGAGAGACGATCAGCGAACTGGAAGCACCAGTTAGCTGAGGTTAATTGAGGTGCGTAATGTACGGCCCCCTCCGAAGTAATACGACAAGTAGTTCCGGGGGAAAAAGGACAAGGCGTCCAAGGAGGTTATAGTGCGGTAAGAATCCCACACACCATTTCACCGCGACCGTGCGCCCGGTCGTTAGGCGGTGGCATGATGGCCTTTTGAAGGTTTCCTCCTTGTAAAAACTGCACAACTGCAGTCTGAAAAATTATCGAAAAAATCTACTCGAGAAAAAATCGACGAAGTCCACGTAAACAGTGCCAGAATCTGTCAAAGTTTGTATTTGTTTTGATTCGCCTTATAAATTTGATTCGTTCGTGGACTTTCCAACGTCTCGAGGGGTGCTTCAATTAACTTGACACCGAAGGTCTGGTACTTTCTCAACAAACATATTGAGCATGACTTCGGGACTCTCTGTTCTTAGTGTTAGTCTATGCTATTAGATAGAGTCTAGTGTATAAGAGCCACGTCAAGAGAAAAACAGTGGAACGCGGATTACGCTTTTGCAAGGATTCCCTTTTGTTTTCAGATTGGAAAATTTCTCGACTACCATGGGCATATTGGACCTCCCTTAGCTCAGTCGGTAAAAGCACAGCTACAAAGCAAGACCATGCTGGAGGTGGCTGGGTTCGATTCCCGGTCCGGTCTAGGAATTTTCTCGACTTCCCACACTTGCCACACAATGCATACTAATGCATACTAATGCAAAAATCGTACAGGCATCGAAAGCTCTCAATTAATAACTGCGAAAGTGCATCTAGAACACTAAGTTGAGAGCACGAAATAAGCTAATATGCGATAAGCAAAAAGCTTGAAACAGGAAGAAGAAGAAGAAGTAAATCATTTTATCAGTGATTTCACTGATGCTGTACTTGAATAACTAAATATATATTTTTTGGTGGATTTTCCACATAGGAAATATCACACATCTTGGCGACACTGCTCAGAAAGTAAGCTGGAAATTGGAGAAAGGTGACCCGAGTTTTAGCTCCATCCACAAAAACCATATACAACAAATTGTTCTTCACCGTCTCCGTTCAAAATTGATGCTCATCCATTCTACATTCTTTTTCCATTTTCTGCTATTGGATTTATCAGAGCAATGCCTGCACGGCACATACCCTAGCTGGTGCCAATAAGAAAAATGGGATACTAAAAATAATCCACGACAATAAATCTATGCTTGCACGTACCAGCACTTGCTTTTTTTTTATTTTTCAATTCCCCTGTTCGTCCTCCATCTCATTCTCCCTCTCTGTTTGGCCTACATTCACTCATTTTCATACCACACACACACTCTAGACGGGTGCTGCTCGAGAATTTCTTCCATCAACACAATTTGATTAGAAGAAAATCGTACCAACAAGAGCGCATTGTCTAATTGCATACACGCAGGCGAGTTGCTCCCCCCCCCTCCCCCAGACGTTGATCAGAGCGCATTGTCTAATTGCATACACGCAGGCGAGTTGCTCCCCCCCCCCCCCAGACGTTGATCAAATTTCCCCGCATTAATATTTGACTGGGTCCACCTGTCAGAATGATTCCCCCGCAGTCCGCGTGGGCATGCATGGGTTCTGCTGTTATTTTCTGCTACAAAAATAGCACCAATAGAACTGGACCTATGTACACAAAAGTCACACTACGGCAGCGAACGAGCGCGAGCGAGTATGTCTCGAGTGCGCGCGGCCTGCTCCGATTTTTCTCCCACGATCGCATAAAAACAGACAGAAATTGATTATCAGCAGCAGCAGCAGCAGTAGGCTTTGAACTTTTCAGGAACTGGCCACCAACACCAGCAGCGAACGAAATGCGATGGGGTGAATATGCTCTAATTTTCTCTCCCGTCTGACCCGTTCTGTTCTCTCGCTCGACAGCTCTCTGGGTTTGTTGAATCCTGTCACACCGAGTGCCACCCTCCTCCGCGTGCACACCCCCACCTGCTTCACCCACAAACGCGAGAGTTATGCATGCATTCACAATTTTCATCTATTTTTTTTTCCTTGGATTACAAAATTCCTTTTCCGAATTATTTTTCCGCTTCACGCTTTTTCAAGATTTTCAACACTTTTCTTCGGGGGAAAAAATCTTCTGCATCGCGAAGCGCAACCGAAAGTCCACTTTCGCTCGACCGATACACCATCACTGGAAAAATGCGTATAAGGGTGAAACCCCACTCGATTTTTCCCCACTGAAGAAAGGACGACAGCAGACACAGGTGCCTTTGAGCGAATAAGGAAGAAATGAGAAACAGGTGCCTTCGATTTTTCCACAATCCACTGACCAACGCGAAATCCGATGTTCCTCGCGACGGAGGCTGTCCAGCCAAGCAGTCCGATTTAGTCACGGGTTTTCGTCGCACAAATTGTTCGAAATTTTCACTTGTCTTCCTGCCTCGGCCGCTTGCTTCAATCTTTTCTATCTACCAACAAACCCCCGATGGTAGCCACTCACTCATGGCTTGCTCCGTACTGGCAGTTTGCTGGTTTGATGTGTGTAGTCCGTCGTAGCAGTATGTGTGCAGTGGTGTTTTTTTCTTTTCGTCCACCGCCGCAGCAGCTCTGAGTTGAATTGAGAGTGGCCGTGTGTATTTAGGACCACACTCGATGGAATAGAACGTGTATCGCGTTTCAGGAACACCGTGAGCGAGTCGCGTGTGTGGTGTAATTTTCCCGACCCTCTACACACTCACCCACACTGGACCGATTGGTGGTGGTTGGACTGATGCAGTGCTGTGGAAAACTCACCACATTTTAGGGGTTGAAATATGGGTGAGTGCCGGCTAGGAATGATGCCGTGTGCTGACGTATAGGTGGCATTGCAGTTCCTCTAGCAAAATGTCAGTCTAGTTTCGCTGCATGCAAGCGGCATAAACAAAAACAGTGGACGAACCGGAGCAGTTGCTGATTTTCGCTAATACAGAATCATGGCATTGTTACATAAAAATCAGAGTGAAATACCGCAGGATGCCGTGAGATTGGACGAGAAGCAAGCTGTGATATACTTTATGAAACTGGTAGACGGATGGCCGGACAAATGGGATATGTCTGTATCGAATGAACATTCCTCTGTAAATTTCAAATTTCATTGAACATTATTCTCATTTCAGTTGGCCTCTAGCGTACACACCGGGAATATTGGGTGCAACGACGGTCATGTCCAGCATCTACATCAACAGTCACTACCGAGGGAAGCTCAGACTAGGCACCTTTGGGCGTCTGTCTAGCTACATACCTACCGTGGTCCTACCGGCACTTATGACCACCTTTTTCCACAGAGCCTTCATAGTGCCGGATGTGGTTCTCGCTAGACAGCAGTGTCCAGTTTGTGTTCAAACCAGGGCTGGACTGCTACAGGCAGCGTTCAGCACAGTCTACCCGATGCTGCTGGCACCGATGTCTGCGTTTATGGTACGGAGGTTGCTTTGATTAATGAGCTCAGTATGCCATGATCGATTATTTGTTTGTTAATTTCAGTTTGCAACGCGACATTTCACCTACCGTTTGCCATCGATCACCGAGCAGCCGCGGGAAGTGCTCAAGTTGTACAAGAAACTGTCCAATCCAATCATGCTAACGGTGACCGGTTTACTGGCGTTCAATATGATGGTATCGATGTTCCTCACCGGGAAGGAGTTCGAGACAGTGTACAAAGTCAATCTGAAATTGCAGGAGCAAGAACAGGAAGAGGTAGTAGACTTGTAGGTGAAGTTGGTTTGTTTGTAGATAAAATTGAAGTAATCTGTTGCCCAAATTGTGTGTCGATACTTTATTATGAGAGTAATCCTTATCTAGCCCCGTAACGTGGGTAGATCACCTTTTCGTGGTACGTTGCGGGATGTAAGATCTACCATCGATTCCTAGTCCTGACTACTTCAAACTAGGGGAACAGGATTTCTCAGTAATTAAGTTCTTCTAAAGACACCATGAGCTTTAGGGTGGGTCAACTTAACAACCCCCTTAAGCTTTTTCGATCCGTATTGAGGTCCCTATAAATTTGAACGGCTTGGGTTATGATCTGGATTTATGGACGGGTATGAAAATCTTTACAATTTGGAGGTTTTTAAGGCGTCAGAAATTTTTTCCTCAAAAAAAAATGTCCCAACCCACATTTTTTCAGGCTGGTGGGTATGGAAATCTTTAAATCGATTTATCTCCGGAAATACGGCTTTAATCGAGATTTGGAGGGTATTTTGGTGTCAGATATTTTGACGTAGAACTACGTCTTTGTCGACTATACTGGGGTGCAAATCAAAAAATATGTGTGGTGAAGGAGTGTTAGGTTTTGAACGCTTGTAACTTTGTCATTTATAGATGAAATTAAAATCCAAATACACCAATCGATAGGATATTACATTACAAACCTGTTGAAATAAGTATTTTTCCAATTTTTCTGTAATTAAACTATTGAAAATGTACAAATGATAATTTTATCACTGATTTCATGAAATAAGCCTTTTTCCCAAACCCAGTCATCACAAACGAATACCACTTGGTTGCACATCATTCTGCTTGAAACTGAAAAGATATAAATCAGCGCTGCTCAACAACATCAACAACATCATTCTCTGCTTGAACGTCAAGCAGTACAGTTCGGTCTTTGCTCGCTCTGTCGAGTTGTTCTAAAGTTTCTAGTTTGTTCCAAACATTCGCAGTTTAATTGCGTCGTCAATAGTGTCGGTCGCTTCGTGTGATGGGAAGACAGCGCTCCCGGAGCAGGCTCCGAGAGAAAACGGAGAAGAAGAACAGCGGTGAGGGTAGCTTAAGTGTACCTATTTCGAATAGGTACGCTACTCTTCCCACCGATGTAGGGAATCCCACCTCAGCCACGGTGAAACGGTCTAAGAAAAGGAAGAAAAATCAAGGCCAGTGGACGGGACGATGCCACCGCGACGAACGTCAGCGTCATTGGTGATTTCGGCGACGCCGTCGACAACGAAACTGCTGCCAGTCCGAGTGCAGCAAAAATGAAGCTTCCTCCACTGGTGGTGAAACAAGTCCCACTCAACACGCTGATTGGCGATCTTTCATCGCTGGGCGTTGCAGCTGAGTTTAAGCTCGGCAGGATCGGCACCAAGGTGATGCTCCGAACCAAAGCGGAGTACGAAGTGGCCGTGAAATATCTGAAGGATACCAAGGCGGAATTCTTCACGCACGACATCCCCGGTGAGAAGCCCTTCAAGGTAGTCATCAGGGGTCTACCAAACTTCGACCCCAAGATGGTCGAAGCCGAAATCAACCGGTACAAGCTAGCCCCAATCGCTGTCTTCCGAATGACAAGGAGAGATGAGAACGTGAAGACGTACCCGGATTGTCTTTTCCTGGTGCACTTCCAGAAAGGGACGGTGACGCTCAATGCGCTACAAGCCATCCGATCGATCTACTCCATCATCGTACGGTGGGAGCCATACCGTGGCGGTCATCGTGACGTAACGCAGTGTCAGAGGTGCCTTAATTTTGGACACGGTACCCGCAACTACAACATCAAGCCACGCTGCAGCAACTGCGCTCAAGAACACGCCACTTCCAACTGCCCTGCGGATGGAGCCGTGGCGATAAAATGCGCTAACTGTGGTGGTGCACATCAACGTTCTGACAGACAGTGCTCCAAACGCGAGGACTTCAAACGCATCCGAAAGCAGGCGTCAAGCAACAATCAACCAGGACGCAAGAAGGACAAAACCCCAGCATTCAGGACGGAGGATTTTCCGCCTCTTCGTGCTCCCCAGCAAAGGCAAGCGAATTCGCGGGTGCAACCCGCCCCCCCTCAAGAAGCTTCCGGTGATTCTGCTGGCCAAAGCTCTCCATCCCCCCCTGGATTCTGGAGACAACCAACAGGGCAAAACAACAACCCCGATCTGTTCTCAGCGGATGAACTGATGGAAATTTTCGTCAACATGTCCGGTGCTCTTCGTAAGTGCCGCAATAAGCCCGAACAGATTCAAGTGCTCGGTAAGTTCATCATCCAGTATGGCGTCTAAACCGCTAACTATCGTCACCTGGAATGCTTGCTCTGTAAGAGCAAAAAAGATTGAGCTTGCCGACTTCCTCCGCAAGCACAGCATCGACGTGGGCCTTCTAACCGAGACCCATCTAAAGTCCGGCGACAGCTTCTGGTTGCCTGACCACAACATTATCCGGCTTGATCGCACCAGCTCCAGGGGGGGTGGTGTTGCGGTCGTCGTCAAAAAAGGAATAAATTACCACACTCTGTCCCATATCCGCACCTCTATCATCGAGGCCCTTGGTGTGGAGGTGGAGTCGTCGACTGGATACGTCCAGTTCATCGCCGTCTACTGCCCTCGACAGTGTGCCGCCAGCAGTGGACTAGCGGCTAAATTTAAGAAGGACCTGTCCACCATCACCCGTACCGGTTCCCGCTTCGTAGTTGGAGGAGATCTGAATGCTCGCCATGAGGCCTGGCGGAACTACCAGCAGAACCAGAACGGTCGTCTCCTGTTCGACCACTCACAGCATGGGCTGTACTCCGTTTGGTTTTCGGATGAACCAACATTCATCTCACCGGCGGGCAACCCATCGACGCTAGACCTATTCCTGACAAATATCGGCTTGTCCAAGCCGGTAGCCTTGAACGAACTCAGCTCCGACCACCAACCGGTGGTGGCTGAACTGGGCTGCAACGTGGCTCCTGCTTCAAGCCTGCGCAAGGACTACCATCGCGTAAACTGGGCCCAGTTTGGACGCGTGGTAGACAGGTACATCATCGACAACCCGCCGCTTGACACCGTGGAGGATATCGACCGAGCGTTGGAGGGACTCCACCAAGCCATAACCGTGGCTGACGAGGCGTGCGTCCGACGAGTTCCTGTGAGGGGTAAGTTTATTGCCATTGATTCCCACACCCAACTTTTGATTCGTCTGAGAAATGTTCGTAGACGCCAGTTTCAGAGGACTGGAGATCTGGGCAAAAAACGTGAAATGGCTGATCTGAACAGACAGATTGCTTCCAGAATGGACTAACTCCGAAATGAAAGTTTCGGGCGTGTTGTCCAGAATCTGCACGACCGCTCCAGACCATTCTGGAAGGTAGCCAAGGTCCTGAAAACTCATCCCAAACCCATTCCACCTCTCAAAGTCGAAAATGATGACGATCGGCTTTTAATCACCCCACAGGAGAAAGCAAATGCGATCGGCGAGCATGTCGCTTCATCGCATTTGCTTGGCTCGAATATCCAAAGTCCGCTCGAAGATCAGGTTGCGCAATGCGTTCAAAACCTAGATGCCTCCCCTTGTGTCGTGCCTCCGGCGGATATGATTACAGTACAACAGATTTGCTCAGCGCTGAAATGCACCAAGAACATGAAGGCTCCCGGGTTTGACGGTATATTCAACTTGATCTTGAAGAGACTCAGCATGAAAGTGCAGTCTCTTCTAACCGCTATCTTCAACAGATGTTTGGAACTGCACTACTTTCCAAGCATCTGGAAAGTAGCAAAAATCATACCAATCCGCAAACCCGGTAAGGATCCAACATTGTCTTCAAGCTACAGACCAATCAGCCTCCTTTCAGCGCTGAGCAAATTGTTCGAGAAACTCATTCTCAATCGTTTGCTCAAGTTTGTGGAGGAAAGCAACATTCTCCTTCCGGAACAGTTTGGATTCAGAAAGGGGCACTCTACCAATCATCAGCTAGTACGGGTGATGAATAACATCCGAAGTAACAAAGCTGTATCCAAGTCCACAGCCATGGCCTTGTTAGACGTTGAAAAGGCATTTGACAATGTTTGGCATGACGGACTTGTGTACAAGCTTTCTAACTTCAACTTCCCATTACATCTGGTTAAAATCACCCGTAACTACCTTCAGCAAAGGTCGTTTAAGGTTCAATTTACTTTGATGCATTTTTGAAAAGTTCAAAAGCAGTTTTTTTCGACGCCTTATTTTAGATTGCAAAAAGCTCGCGTCATTTTGTGTAAAATATCAAAAGGAATCGAATAGTGCGAGCTTTTTGCAATCTGAAATAATGCGTTGGAAAAAACTGCTTTTGAAATTTTCCAAAAAGCATCAAAGTAAATTGAACCTTAAGGTATCGTTGAATGGTTGTCTTTCCGACACGTTTTCCATCCCAGCAGGAGTGCCGCAAGGCAGTCTGCTGGGCCCCTTGCTTTACAGCATTTATACTTCCGACATTCCTCCCCTTGGAGACGGTTGCGTGTTCTTCCTGTTCGCAGATGATACCGCAATAGCCGTCAAAGGAAGGATGCCTCGCGAAATAACGAACAAACTTCAACGATGCCTTAACGCCTTTGCTGATTATGCCACCACGTGGAAAATCAAAATCAATGCCTCCAAAACACAAGCGATCATGTTCCTCCATCGGCAATCGCCCAAACTGAAACCGGCTCCATCTTGTACTGTAATCATGGATGGCACAAGGGTTGAGTGGTCCGCCGAAGTAACCTATCTCGGGATGTTGATCGATGAAAAGCTCCTCTTCCGTTCGCATGTAGAGAAAACTGTAGTCAAGTGTTCTACCTTGGTTAGGTGTCTGTATCCGCTGATTTGCCGCAGATCCCGCCTCTCAAGGGTGAACAAACTGGCCGTCTACAAACAAATCATAGCACCTGCGATCCTCTACGCAGCTCCGGTGTGGGAATCATGTGCACAGACTCACAGGAACAAAATTCAGGTCGCTCAGAATAGAGTGCTGAGGATGGTTCTTGATCGTCCTTTCGACACTAGAATAACAAATTTACATGAAGAGGCAGGCATTGCCAAAATAGATTCCAAAATTAACGAAATTAAGACTAAATTTGCACAAAAATGTAATTTATCAGAACATGCTTTGATAAGCAATTTGTATATAGTAGGTTAGGTGTATATAGTAGTTGTAGGTTAGTTGTAGTTGTAAATAGTAGTTATAAGTAGACTCCTTTTTCCAATTCAAATCATACCAATCCCACCAAGGTGGTCATACTTTAAAATAGGCCTGATAGGACTAGAAACTGTAAATAATAATTAAAATCTCACTGTACTAAAGTTGAAAAGACGCATCTGTGTCACTTGAAAAATTCATACATGTAAACCACACAAACACAAGAAATAAAGATCATTTAACTGCTAACTGCATTTGCTCATTGTCGCTTCGGACGGCGTGGCACTTGGTCCTGCAGTAAGTAGGACCAAATCAGCGGCTAAAGGTGGATCACGGCGTGACCACAATGAGGAAATGTAATGATGTAAACCCCCTCCTCCTTTCACAACAACCTCTCTCCCTCCCCCTTCACAACAATCTCCCCACCCCTCAACAACCTCTCCTAACCAATTATCAATGACAATTATCCACGGCCCATACAAATGTTAAAATGTTTATATGGACAATTGTCTACGCATGGGGAGGGGTTTCAAGCATACCGAAAAGCTGTCTACGTAGTTAGTGAACAGCCCCTAAAATAACACTGTTATCAAATAAAAAGCAGCTTACGCGATCACCAACGATCGACCAAAACAATCTGTGGGCAGTGTTGCGATATACCGTTAAAAAAAAGTTGATGCATTGTCCAATACTCATATTGTTCGTTTAACTCGTGAGCAATTCTCTACAGATTGACGAATTTTTTAATTTTTAATTTGTCGGCTCCGATTTTGATGAAAATTTCCACAGTTGTTCTTTTTTAGTAAAGATGCCAATTTGTGTTATCAGTTCTTCAAATTGAATCACGACTACTTTTCTAACAGGGCCTGTGTAAAAATAGTACTAATGAGTTAAAAAAATTTATATTGCTGAAACGTTTTGTTCGATTAATTTGGTGTCTTGAGCAAAGTTGTAGATATTATTTTGGCAATAATGTTAAAAATATACACTGTAAAAAATTCGTTTGTTTCAATGAAAAAAATATACTTCTTATTAAAAAAATTAATTTCTCAAAAAGTACATTTTATTGCATTTTTGATTTCATTGAAATACAACTGAAGGTTATGCTTACCTTTTAACCAAATGGTGTTACACTTATTTCCTATGATAACTTTTTAAGATGTATGCGGTAAAAAGCAATCTTTGTGATCAACTGCTTGTTTTCACCATTCAAACTCATTTTAGTATCAGATCGATAGGTATAATTTCTACATTAGGTACAGACAGATGTTTTTGGTGTTCACTACTACAGTGTTGAGTATTTGACTTATTACCGTTAAGATCACTGATACAACTATGCAAAATTGAAGACAATGAATAAAAAAGAAAATTAATCGCTAGTTTGAGCATCATTTCACTTTTATTTAGTTCTAGCTCAATATTCATCAAATGAATTTTTTAGTTTTGTTAGTAACGTTACCTTTTCATGGTATCAGATGTAATGAATCCTAACTTTTCAATAGGGCCTGTGTAGAAAAACACTAATGAAATAAACATTTTAATACATTGCAAAAACGGCTTGCTTGATTGCTATGGTGTCTTCGGAAAAGTTTTGCAAAATTAAAATGCAATTCTTGAAAAAATATACACGATTAAAAAAATGTGTTTTTAATGAAAATGTAAAAATCGTGAAATATTCAAAAAACCATAACTTTTTGGTTTTTGAGTTTACCATCACCAAACTTTGCCAGTTAGTAGCAAACATTATGAGCTTCAATGAGGCTTAAAACGAAAATTTTATTAGAAATTAACTTTTTTAATAATAAATATATTTTTTTTCATTGATGCAAACGAATTTTTTTACAGTGTATATTTTTTACACAATTGCCAAAATAATATCTACAACTTTGCTCTAGACCCCAAATCAATCGAACAAAGCGTTTCGGCAATATATATTTTTAAACTCATTAGTACTATTTTTACACAGACCCTTTTCAAAAAGTAGTCGTAATTCAATATGAAAAACTGAGAGCACAAAATGGCGCCTTTACTAAAAAGGAACAACTGTGCAAAGTTTCAGCGTAATTGGAAATGATCGGTCAGGATCGATTTGCGAACCTTCGTGGAATGCCTCTCGTATAACTTAAATTATGCACTCATAATGCTTAAAAACAAACAAATCATGTTGAAAACATAAATGACCTATGTAACTGTGATTATAACAAAACGTCCTATATAACATGTCCAATGTACACCTGACAAGAGCAAAATGTCCTATGTAAAAATTTTCACGTTTTCATAGAAAAAAAAATGTTTGAAACGGGTAGATTATAATTTCACTTTCAATTTTCCTATCGCATTTTACTATTAAAGGTCTTAAAAATATCAAAAGTTGATTTGGTTTAAAATCTTATCAAAAAAGATATTGTCAATCTTCAACCTCGTTTTTCTCAAAAAGAGTGAAATGTTAGATAGGACCTTTTGAAAAGTTAGGCGAGATTTCATCTCTGCCAAAGGGGCAGCAAAACCACAAAATTACCTTGAATACGAGGGGTATTTATTGGATGAAAGGAACCGTGAAAGAGGACACTAAAATAGAAAGTTTTCTTCCGACAGTTTCATCTTAGTATTCATCTTTGTGTGTACTTCTGAGTGGATTCTGTTTATGTGTGGTCAAATGAAAATCATGTGGAATTTCACATGGATATTTGTCAAGAAAAATGTGTAAATTGTTTTGAATCAACCATAACCGAAACATTGAAATACTTGAAAATTTTAAGATAAAGTATAATAGTCAAAAATGCATGAAAAACATCAACTTTGTGTGGTTCTACGTCATACTGCGGTCGTGTCTAGGACACAACCCTTTAATTTTTTTCCTAATAAAATGTCCCAACCCACATTTTATCAGGCTGGTGGGTATGGAAATCTTTAAATCGATTTATCTCCGGAAATACGGCTCTAATCGAGATTTGGAGGGTATTTTGGTGTCAGAAATTTTTCTTATTATTCTTACCCGCAGTGAACGAAAATCCCACAAAATGAAGCGAAAGCAAAGACGATACGAGCAAATTTCCCAACGTCCATTTTGAACGCCTTTCAAATCGCCCACCCTTGCATTTGGGGCGAAAATTTTCCGCAGCATCCGACCGTGGTTTGCACAGCATCCCGCGTCGCCTTCATCGAGGCTCAAACAAAAGTCAGAAGCGAGAAAATCCGTGCACTTTTCACGCGAGCTCAGCTGCAATTTCGCCCTGCCGCAGCAGCTGTCGTCTCGTGCACTTTGCTTGCGTTTTCTCGATCCGACGTCGACCACGGTGGCGACACTTTAGTGCACGGCAGGCGACACGCACACCTCTTTTTCCTCTCGTTCGGTTTTTATTTTGATATAATTTCTCGTCTGAAATTTTCCCTTCTAATCTGTCTTCTCTGTCGGAATTTCGCGAGTATTTAAGCAGTAGTAGGCTGTGAATGGAAATTCGTTGAAACCTTCGCGAGTGGAAGGTTACCAACTATCTTCAGTTCAGGATGAGTACGGCCACCTAAGCAAGCCAGTGTTTGTTGCTGGGATCGAGATCTAGAGTTGTCACTCGACAGTGCGTGCAAAGGAAACTAGGAAAGAACAAACTCCAACACAGTAGTCTTCTACCCTGATGGTGTTCATCCAATGTGTGCTGTGATTAATGTGTCTAGACTGTGAAGTTTTTTAAGTTTTCGGTAGAGTTTTGTTCAGTTGTTAACGTTACTAGTAGCCTTATGTGATTAGTCTGAATTTGCTGTGTCGTTGAGCCCCGGATCGCTTGAAGAGTGGAAAATTCCCGGACAGAGAATCCAAGTTTTTCTTCAAGGATTTTCCCATTTTCGCATTGATCCTTGCCAGTGTCAGTGGTTGATTTATTGTGTCAGATATCGAGAAAATTCCTGCCGAACGTCCAGAAACGAGTACGTAAACATGGTGCATACTGGGGGAAGGGTTGGCAGTGGAATGCGGCCCTTCTCCATATTATCAGCTCTTATCAACAACAGTACCGGGGGGCGAGCGAATGCGCTCGGAAAAGCGGGTGGTTGTTGTGATGAAAAATAAAATTCTTCGCTGCTCTAGCTCTGTGTGATTACGAAAGAGGCCCAGATTTTTCCTCTCTCTCTCGTTCGCCGTCCTCCGCACATAACCAGTCCCCTTCTATCGGTGCACCGTGCAGTGTGTGCAGTAACGCAAAACAACCATGCGCTTTTGACAGGGTTCTTGATCCATTTCCTTTTCGAGCTGTATGAAATTATTTTCCGAATTTCGGGAAAATTTTGCTCAAATTATGCCACCGATCGAATGTACACAAATCGAATGTAAACAGAACCGGCCACAGCTGGCCGCGGGATCCCGTGATGACGACGATCAACATGTTGTATCAAAACATACAAAATACTTAGTTTCGTGCCAAGAATTTTCTAAAAGACGCTTTCTTCGAGCCAAATCGAAACGAAAAAAAAAATAAAATAAAAGGAAGGAAGACATGAAGCAAAGTTTCGCAGAATCATGGACTGCTGTGGTGTGTTGTCGGTCGTCGTCATCGTTGCGTACTGCTTTGGTCTAGTTGGCACTGACTGAGACTGCTGAGGTGTCACCAGGCCGGGCTTTTCCACGGAATCGGCCGCAGTCAAGTTGTTGGCTCGAAAATAGACACTTTCGCTGTCGCGATTCGGTTTTGGCCTACCTGCCGGTTTTACCCGGCAGCGCCAAGAGCAAAGAGCCAAGAGCCAACGCCAAAAGTAGTATGGTAACTACACAAACCGGTAGCAGCAGCAGCAGTAGTAGTAGCGGAGCGTAGTACTATTTTAGAACTTTGCCAAGACTGTGTTATCATGAATGAATGAATGAAAAGTCTGGCTCTGAGGTGATGATTGGTTGCAGGAAGGGGGTGAGGGGACCACGGTGAGACGAAGGTTGGGACGCTGGCCAGGAAATAAGGAATGTGATGAATGAAAGTGACTTGGCTCCGTTCTGAGGGAAATGTTCTGGATTCTTTAGCTGCTTGCTGCTCGGTGTACGACGGCGATGATGCATTCCCAGGTGAATGGGGTAGGTCGTTGAATGGAGGGAAACGGTAGTAGGTAGTTGAGTGCTAAATTTTTTGAGTGGATGGAATTTGTGTAAATTTTCAATTCCAATGTTGGCAATGAATGTTGCACGGTAACAAACATTCGCCTAACGATTTTTGCATAGCAATGGACATCTGATATTTTTCCGCTCTCATGCACCATTGACCGTGTAGATCAACCCAATTTTGAGTTCAGATTACTCATAATCGCAAAAAGTGCAGGAACTCAACTATGAGTAAAATTTCAGTCAAATTTACTCATCGCTGAGTTCCTGCAATTTTGTCGATTTATGAGAAAACTGAACTCAAATTTAGGTTGATCTCACTGGCCGTGTACGCTTTCAATATTGAAAAAAATATCATACTTGATATTGATGTTACAACAGCTCCTTTGATATTGCGAGACTACTCACAACATGTAAAATCGAAGCTGAGAGTTGACTCGACTCAAAAATGATTCCGCTGCACATCGTTTTTTTTTTAGAAAGAGAAAGTATCGTTTGCTATCGCTCTTTACTCCTCTCCGATGGCAGACACGAAGCTACTGCTGCCAGCGTTCGGATGTAAAGTTAAAATCATGAAACTCAAACTCACCACGGTTTGGTGAGTTTTGTTAGCTTGATATTCGTAGCTTGATGCTTGCTTGTTGAATTGGTGAGATTTGATTTTTTGATATTTTCCAACACTGGTCCTACGATACGTGGTGCGGAGTCGCTCGAAATGGGTGTCAAAAAAATCAATTGATCAGAACGGGAATTAACAGGGAAATTAAAAAAATATCCGGGAAAACCGGGAGAAACCCGGGAATTCAATGGGAGAACCGGGAAAAATCAATAAACCTTTTTTTTTTCGTGGTGGGTATATTTATCATTACTGTCATCTATTGTGATATATTCCCCATTTTTATAGGGGAAAATTTGGCTTCGGCAATACCTTAACCTATTATAGTCAAGGGGGAAAACAATTTCCTTGAGAGCTCAATTTTGGCATTTGGATACATTGTGTTTCAGAGCATCTATTGGTCAAATTTGAATGCTCTAGGACTTTGTTTACCCCCTGAAGATAATAGGTTAAGGTATTGCCGAAGCCGGCATTTCCCCCATAACTTTAACAGTATTTTTTTTTTTTTTTTATATCTTTATTAAGGAGACTTTTAGCCGTTGGCTGGCTCGTCTCCGCAGCTTTAACAGTATTGCGTATCACTATTTTGTGAAGCGACCGAAATAGACTGACCAAAAGCATTTTCCCAGCCAGGTATTACATTTCGAATGCATAGTACTACTTGACTGGGACCTGCATTCCAACTATCAAAGGGTTCTACCAGCTCCTTATCCAGAAAAATACGCCTTTTATTGAAGATTGCTGAACAAGAGTAAAGCAGACAGTGGTGTCTAAAATCAAGATAAGAAAATCAGCTATCTTTGAAGATCAATATCACCTGAACATCACCACAAAAATCACCCGTGATTTTCGAGCAATATCAGCTGTGATTTTCGATTCCCAAAATCAACCAGCATCAATATCAACCACGAAATCATCGAAAATCACAGGATTAGAAGACATGTTAAATTCTAGAGTCTGGGACATGCCGAAATTCAAGACAGCATTCCGGATGAAATTAAAATGGTGGATTTCAACCCAAGATGGATTTCACAAATCCAAGATGGCGGTACAAAATTTAATATGGTGGCCTCCGGACAGCGAATTTGCATCTAAACCCATGCAATATAGGTATCTACGGAATGGGCTTGATGAGCAGAAGCGGAAAATTAACATCCACCGCCATTTTTGAATACAAGATGGCGGTCCGAAATCCTATATGGCGGCCTCCGGACAGCGAATATGCCTCTAGACTTATGCAATATGGGTATCTACGGAATGGACTCGATGAGTAGAAGTGTAAAATTGACATCCGCCACCACTTTAGAATCCAAGATGGCGGACCAAAATCTAATATTGTGGCCTCCGGACAGCGAAGTTGCTTCTAAACCCATGCAATATGGGTATCTAAGGAATAGGCTCGATGAGTAGAAGTGACAAATACGGACAGGGAATTTGCATCTAAACCCATGCAATATGAGTATCTAAGGAATAGGCTCGATGAGTAGAAGTAAAAAATTGACATCCACTGCCATTTTGGAAATTCAAGATGGCGGACCAAAATCCAATATGGTGGCCTCCGGACAGCGAATATGCATCTAAACCCATGCAATATGGGTATCTACGGAATGGGCTTGATGAGCAGAAGCAGAAAATCAACATCCGCCGCCGTTTTGGAATCCATGATAGCGCACCAAAATCCAATATGGTGGCCTCCGGACAGCGAATTTGCATCTAAACCCATGAAATATGGGTATCTAAGGAATAGGCTCGATGAATAGAAGTGAAAAATTGACATCCACCGCCATTTTGGAATTCAAGATGGCCGACCAAAATCCAATATGGTAATCTAGGAACGGCGAATATGCATCTAAACCCATGCAATATGGGTAAAGTGTGAAATTGACATCCGCCGCCAATTTGGAATCCAAGATGGTGGACTAAAATCCAATATGGCGGCCTCCGGATAGCGAATTTGCATCTGCACCCATGCAATATGGGTATCTAAGGAATGGACTCGATGAGTAGAAGTGAAAAATTGACATCCACCGCCAGTTTGAAATCCAAGATGGCGAACCAAAATCCAATATGATGGCCTCAGGACAGCGAATATGCAACTAAACCCATGCAATATGGGTATCAACGGAATGGGCTTGATGAGCAGAAGCAGAAAATCAACATCCACCGCCGTTTTGTAATCCAAGATGGCAGACCAAAATCCTATATCTAAGGAATAGACTCGATGAGTAGAAGTGAAAAATTGACATCCACTGCCATTTTGGAAATTCAAGATGGCGGCCAAAATCCAATATGGTGACCTCCAGATAGCGAATTTGCATCTAAATCCATGCAATATGGGTATCTACGAAATGGGCTCGATGAGTAGAAGTGAAAAATAAGGACAGGGAATTTGCATCTAAACCCATGCAATATGGGTATCTAAGGAATAGGCTCGATGAGTAGAAGTGAAAAATTGACATCCACTGCCATTTTGGAAATTCAAGATGGCGGACCAAAATCCAATATGACGGCCTCTGGACAGCGAATATGCATCTAAACCCATGCAATGTGAGTATCTACGGAATAAACTCGATGCGTAGAAGTATGAAATTGCCATTTTGGAATTCACCATTGGTTCACCATCTTGGATTTGTGGAAGCCATCTTGGATTGAAACGCACCATTTTAATTTCATCCGGAATGCTGACTTAAATTTCGTCCCAGACCCCATATCTTCTAACCCTGTGATTTTCAATGATTTTGATCTTTTAATTTTGGGAATCGAAAATTACAGCTGATATTGGTCGACTATTACGGGTGATTTCCGTGGTGATGATGGCTTGTTATATTGGTGCCTGTGATTTTAGGTTATCTTGATCTTGAAAGATAGCTGCCGTAACCAGAAAAACCTCCGGGGGATCCAGCATCGTATAGGCTGTAAGTAATGAAGACTTCCCACCGTATTTGGCGCTGACGTCTTCACTAGCCAGCCGAGCTAATTCACCTCTTTAATAATTCTCAGGGTCGACCAAACGCACTCGTGGAAACTCACCTGTCCCTTTTGCTGCCGAAAGCGAACCAAGCGGAAATCAATTTTCGGTGCACACAAGAAAAGTATTGAAAGCAAAAATTTGCGGAAAGCAAACTAACTAACTAACTAACTATTTTCAAATATTTAACTCCAAAATTTATTGGAAATTTACTTTGAGAATAAAAAAAAAACAAGAACGGACTCACTGTACTCGTTGCT